GGGATGAGGGAAGTCCAAGAAATTTACCAAGCGGCTAATATTTTGCATACGACCAAAACTGAAATACGCTGAAACTTGCTCAATTCAACATTTACAAAAATGGCTATCTATTAAATAGAAATTCAATATCACATACAGGCAAATATACATTTATTGCCTTAAAATTTTATACTTAATCCTATTTCAATAGATTTTCTTTAAAAGTCGCACAGCTGTTTTTACTAACGCTGTCCAGCAGTATAATTAGTACATAGTATAAATGGTCATTAAACTGCCCATTATTAGTAAAAGAACAAGTATAGCTAACTTGAAATAGTCACTGATTTTTCTGTAGCAGTTAACGTAAAAGCTTCTCTTCTGTCATCGCTTCAAACTGTATGTTGAACGACATTTCATTATTCGATTATATTTTGGCATATTAACATAATTTTCGCATTCGAACGTAAAACCTACGGTTGTATATGTTTGTCATCATCATATTTAGCATCCTTGTAAACATGAAGGCTGCTTGTCACTTGTGATGTCCATCCATCTCCCTTTATTGCATTCTGATATTAGGAACTGTTGGCTGCATCGACGAAGGGAAAATTCCTCAGCGACAAATAATTTCGGTTTAATTACATCTGTCGTGTGATGTGCTGGCCATCGATCTTTCACCATCTTTATTTGGCTTCCCGTTTTATCAGCTGATGAGCCATTGGTGTTTCATCGCATCGTTGCAAATGATCGAACTATGCCAGCCGTCTGTCTCTCAGCACTTTCGATATGTCGATAAGGTCGGCTATTGCCAAGGCTCGATCATTTTTTATTTTCGAACCACTTTATCCTCAGTTACCAGCACTGTTCTAAGCTGTCCAGTTGATGCTTCTCTCTTCCTGTGAGTGCAGCTATTTCTAGTCTGTAAAGCAGAACTGGTGCGACAGCATTTGCTGTAGAGTCGGGGCTTGATGATGGCTGCTATTGCCCTTCCAGTCCAAACGTTCCCTTGAAAGGCCCTTGAACTGAAAGATGCAAGCGCAATTCTTCTGTTCAGGTACTGTTCATGGTTCTCTCATCGAGATGATAGCGTTCAGATATTGGTACTTTTTCCACGGCACACCTTCGGTTCGGCGGGACCTCGTGTGTTCCTCATCGGTTTTGTCTTTGCAAGATTCTGTTGGAGGCATGCTTTCGCTGCAGTTTTGCATACTGTTTTTCTGAGCGAGTGAATACCATCATCGTTATCATGCAGTAAGACGATGCATCGCCATAGTCCAAGACAGTTAGGTACTTCGCCGGGTACCTAGAGCTTTGCCTCCGCTGCAACAGGAGGCCGTCTCTCAGTGCCGTTCGGTATTGTTTCGTAGGATGTAATCTACTACTGTGCTGAAGTGCAAAGGTGAAAGAACGTCGTCCTCTTGACCCTTACCCTGTTTATTATCTCGAGTCAATCCGAAAGCAGTCCTTCGGCTTTCACAAAGCTGATCCTCCAATCGTACATTCTTTTCATAATGGCAACAATCTGCTCTTAAATATCGACGTTGCATACGATTCTCCAAGTTCTTTGGCGGTGGATGGAATCAAACTCAGCATGAAAATCAATGAACGTTGCATATCAGGGCATTTGAAATCGGCGGTACTGTTCGATGATCCGTCCACGATCGTAGCCGTCACAGGATCACTAGCGAGAGTACTATTCCCGGCGTCGACAGCAGTAATGCTATGATAGTTCGAGCAGCAGGTGTTGTCTCGACATACGTGGATCAAGATTAATATTCCCTTTTTTCATCCGTTCAAGAATTTCTTCTCCTTCCACATGCGCCGGAAGAATTTCTGCAGATTGAGCAACATGTCTTCGCCACGAAATTTTATTAACTCTGTTTGTATACCATCCATTTTGCATTTAGGTTGTTCAGAGTGGAGGTCTCAGACGATATCTCCATTGACTTATTATTAGATGGACATTGTGCAGCAAGAATGCAGCAAGCTTAAAACCTGAGAGTTTTAAGAGACAGGAACGCCAGTGAAGAAGCTTGAAGTTAGACAGTCAAATTTAATCGATAATTGCCGGGCCTATGGAGCTGTAAAACCGCAGATGTCCAGACCTGATGTGAAAGTCTTAGATAGGAGGGTCCTTCATCGCGAGGTCATGGATTCTCCTGCGACGCATCTCTACGCGGAAATTCAGAGATAACAGTACGGTTCCACCCGATTACATTGCTACTAGCCCCACGAAAGCAACTATACACTACCAAAAAGCACAGAAATGCTCTCTCGTCCCTTTGGCATGGGCAGTAGAGACAAATTTTAGTGAAAGGGTGTTTCATAGTCTATATTGACTTGCTCTGTTCAACTATGACTGGTACTTATAACATGCTGGGGAAAGACCATCACTATTTATATAGACTTCTTGTCTGTTCTGGACTGGAATGAAAAGCAGTCAGTTCGTTGTGAACTTGCAGGGTGGGTTCTGAACGTCCACGTGTTTGTGAATTTCACTCGCCGTTCATGTTTTGAACGATTTCAGATCGAGAGCATTTTTGGCTTTCTGCCTTCCGAAGTGAGCACCATCCGAAACTCCATGCAAGACACTGTTTCGGTAAGTCGCTGTATATTTAACATTCTAAAACGATACCTATGTCAGCCAATTGTCGCGCGTATCATAGACGAGAAAGCTCGAGAATCGGCGCAGCTCTTCCGTACACGAAGGGAGTTATGGTACGGGCACGATCTTAGACCACGATGAAATGTCGTACTTCCGTTTCTCTAAATTCGCCGCCGCCTACTACGAGTCGAACCTGCCGCCCGTATTCTCTCGAAAACCGTTGCGAACGCCGTTGCTACACCACAGCAGTGCACAGGACAGAGCAGTGCGTGGAACTAACCATTTTTAATAATTATGATTTAATCAGACTGATTATAGTCATGCGTTGGCATTTGGCTCGCGGTTCTGCGCTTTATGGGCGACATGCCAGAATCGGCGTCTTCACCTGAACTGAACGACCAAACGAAGGTACGACAGTATGACTCGCCAGGACGTGCTGTTGGTGAATTGTATTGTATTCTGCGAAATTGGTTATTTCCTGTGCTGATCTTTGCTGTTCGAACAGCGAATATTTTGATGATTCATCGTTCGATGCTATCAGATGCATGAGGATAAATTTCTGCTTTCTTCTCGAACAGAGTAAATAATCAGACGACATTAAACCGAAAGCGGTTTCTCGTTAAACCGCAAACAAACCAATTTTTTTCGATCGAATTAAAGCCTGTGCATTTTTCTAACGTCGAATTTGTTAAACTATGGATCGATTTTACCTGCGCAGGCTTTATTGACAACTTCCAGTTGTATATGCTGAGAATAGATCAACTAAACGGTGTTTCGCGTTTTAAACACATGCTTCTAAAAAAATGACCTTACCTCGCCACTGTTGCTTGTCCATTCCAGGGTTCATGCATTGTTAACTGTTCGCAGGCCATCGATTGTCTTATTAACTAGAGTACCATGAGTGAGCTGTTTGTTTAAGGGAACAGGCATGTGGTTATTCTTTATGATTGCCATTCGAATCTATAGTTTCAAGATGTCATGTGTGAGAATAAATCATTTGCTCCCTTGTGCGAGGCCATAGATTTTAATACGGTGGTTAATATTTGTTTCTTTTGGATATAACCGATCAAGCAAAAGGCTTCATAGGTATTTGCATTTTTAAACGCTTGTCCTTACCTTTTTCTAGCCAAAAAATTACCATTAAAGGATAAAAATTAATCAGTCATTTTACTTTTAACATGGTCAATGAATCACCATTTTCGATACTCTTTCGCCATGACGCTAACTATGCACAAACATTAAAGGCAGAAATACTTGTCTCGCGACGATGATCATGAACATTTGTATAAAGAAACAGTGCTTGTTTTTAATATATTGATGCATTCAGGTTTTGTAGCATTTCATCCTGGAAGTGACCCGAGTTTCCTAATATGGAAATCAGGCGTGATGTCATAGTGTGCCGTCTGTAAGACTCTGCAGTGTGATAAAGACAGCGCTTCTTGCAGCGTATCAACTGCCTGTGAGATCCCTACGGTTCTACACTTTTATAACGGAGTAAAAATAGTCGTCTTGTACTTTCCTTACAAACCACGTGGCAACCGCCATGACCTCGTATACCACAACAGTATTCATCCGCATCCCTGACAAAAGCGTACAGATATCAGTTGGTCATGTTGAAGTTGCTGCTGATGAATACTCCAAAAGAAACGGACATCGCATACCTCGGGAGAAGCAGCACAGTTTCGTATTTGGCCTTATATGGCCCCAGCTGCTTCTGGCTTCTAACTTATTGCGATGTTTTGCTTGGATGCGAGGGATAGTAGATAGTAGAGACTGGATGGTGTTTTGCTCTGATCATTCCAGAATGGACGTAATATACCACCATTGGCCTTTCTTTTCATGCTTCTTTTCATGAAATTGGTGTTTCATTGCTGCTCTCCACTTTTACATCATCTGCCTGGAGTGCCTTATTCTTTTAAAGGCAAAGTCTACAGCCATATGGCAAGCGCAGCATGTAGTCTCCTATTTCCTTCCCACACTGTGGTACTCATCTACCTGGGAAGGAAGAAGGGCGAGTGACCATGACCAGGCCTTGAACTTGGGATCTATCGGTTCTGAGTTCGACGTTCTACCGACCTAGCAACGCCCGGCCTGCAGCACTGTGTGGTAAGTTTTGCTCAAGGGAACTCGTGATTGCCCTCGAGCGGTACTGAACCCGTCACCTCCGGAATTCGAAGCGCACCTTTTTAGGCACTGTCCCACCATGCCACTCGCGTGTGGACCAACATACGCAACAACCCGTTACATCCATTGCACATCAGCGTTTTAAGGGTTTGTCCAATATTTTATCTGTCCGTTATCACTTTATCAGCATCTCAACGAGGACGGAGTTATGTCGCAGGTCGTTCATTACTTCCGTCGTCACCATGCATTCTCAGCTCTCCTCGATCCGATAAACAGGCCTACTTCACCATGCTTCTAACACCGTGCAACTTTTGGTGCAGAACCCACAGACCGCCGATCTTTAATAAGTGTTCTTTTTACAAATTTTGGAAACTTAACTTTTAGGCAAATGAAGATGATGCGCATTTTGATTGCATGATTTAGCAGCATAAGAAACAAAAGCAGTCTTTAATACAGATCTGGAGTTTCCATTGAACTGGACGCTTCTGATATGCAACAAAACGATTCAGCCCTGAGCAGGTCGTTTCCAACTCCTGCGTTAGTTATCAAGGTTTAGGTCTTTTAGAATAAGTTGTTTCTATCAATTAGACCTTCCTTATGGCTCGTATGCTGTAACTCGTAATGTAAGAATAAATGTTTTTCTTATGGCGCGACTGTGCCATGGATTCTTTGTACAGTCAGTAGTTCAGGATTGCACTTAATTTGCTTTCGCGCTGGCTATGCGATTTGCATTCTCAAAATAACCGAAAGAATGAAATTGTCAAAGCCCGTAGTACCTAACTTGCTGTTTTGTGCCTGATCAGAAAATAGTATCTATAATTATATAAAGGTATCATTTAGGGAAGTACGCCTATGTTTATACAGCTGCAGTCATTTTTCCGCCGGCAGCCACCATCGTATGGTCATTTGTCTTCGCACTCAAGGCCTTCCTTCAGCTGCCTTCATTCAGTGGTAAGTAGTGATCAGTTCTCGCATTTATAAAGTGATAATTTCTTCCAGACTGAAAAAAATAGGTTTGCCGTACGGCTCTTGAAGCGCAAGCCTGTTTCTTCGGATGATCTGATGAGTCAACTACGACAAGAGGAGTACTTAAAACTACTGGAAGAAACTCCGAAGAGTAATCTGGATAAGCTGCATTTCATCATCGGCCATGGAATTTTAAGGCCGCAACTCAGGTAACAGTTATGCATTCCATGGTAATGATCCAACTCTCTTGCTTCGGCAGGAATGAAATTTTCTGCCAGATCTGCAAGCAGCTGACCGAAAATCCGAGTTCTCATTCGCTCACTCGGGGATGGCTGTTGCTGTCTCTGTGTCTGTGCTGCTTTGCACCGTCGAAAAAGGTTGCTTTCATTTTTATGGCGATCGTTGTTTGTTACGCGTTGATTTAGCTCGTCAAATACTTGCGCTCGTTCATCCGTTACGAGGGTATCAGTGACTTCTCGACGTACAGCGATGAGCGCTTAGTAAGGACTTTGTCGAACGGAGCTAGAAATCAGCCGCCGAGTCTCATCGAGATTCAGGTGATCGTTCATATATCGATCGTCAGCGTGATGGCCGTTTGAACTTTACGCTTCTAGGCTGCAAGTCTAAAGAAGCCAATTGAGCTGACGATTACGTTGATGAACGGTGCGACTAAGGTGTTGCAAGTCGATTCTGCAGCGACATCACGGGAACTGTGCAAGGCCATATCCGAAGATATTGGGCTTGTGGATGACTTTGGGTTTTCGATTTATATTTCCATGCTTGATAAGGTGAGGCGATGCGAAATGTATGCGTAACATTTTACTGACTCTGTTCAGCGGCATTCTATTATCTTGTTCCACTTCTGGAATAAGCATAGCCTGCTTGAGGAATGAGAATTTTAGACAGCTGCGCATGCACTTGAAGATATGTGTGTGCAACACTAACGTCAAAATATGTTAATACGCTGGACTATGATTACGCATGACTCGGCCAAGACCAGATTCCACGGTTTATTACACTACTCCTATCTCCTAGTTGCCTAAGAGTGGACATTAATGCAAACGACCGCTTCATGGTATTGGAGCATCTGCAATGCCAGATGCATTTAGCAAAATGTTTTCCGCTAGAGCCACCTCGCACTCCTAGTGAAAAATGTTTTAAGAGCTGACACTCCTTACATGCGACTGCTTGAACATCGTAAGCTCGTATCGGACGATTCGTTCGTTGTTTTACTTAGTAAGGCGTACGAAGCACTTACAATGCTTATTTGTTAACATGTGAGGTGTATCAGCTCTTGAAACATCGTTCGTAATGAACACAGGGTGGCTCTAGCGAACGAAATTATGTGAAATGCATCTAGTACTGCAAGGGTTAAACACCCTGCAGTTGTGACTGCTTAAATGCCTCTACCAGAGACAGCTAGGAGCAAGGAGGCGGTGCAGTGTGGGCTGTAATCATGCTTTGAAGGAGGAGTGCGTTATTTCACATGGAGCAATTGCCTTCTGTCAAACGAACCTGTAGAAATTATTTTTTTGGAATTTGTCATCAAGGAGAATGTTAGAAAAAAAATAGAAACTTGTCCTGATATATTCATTTGTAAACGGAGGAAATTTTTTTAATTTGCAGTTTGCACCTTGTGCTTATTATAATTCAGCTGCCGGGTTGGTCAAGACGAATTTCAGCTGTATGGCGCATGCATCCGACATCATTTCCCTAAGTTTCGCAGTCTTTGGTATGATCACAGCATAATACCATGTTGTTCCTGTGGTTTTCAGATTAACGATTTGCTATCTGTTTTTTGGCTGTTCGCATTGAAGCACAGCGGGATAAATTTCTTGCTCAAGAGAATACTCCCTTCTTGCTCACGCGAAGTACCGATAGATAGACAAGGTTTTGAGCCATGCTTGAATTCGAATCCTGCACCTCCAAATTGCAAAGGCAAACTACGTATTTCGTGCGCCGCTGCCTTTTAAACTCACTGGTTTCGAGCAGATCCAGGCAGAACTTCTGAAGTGTGATGGAACCACGGTGCTGAAAGCATAAGAATAGCTTTTGAGTGAAATTTAATCGCTATGTCAGATACGAACACGCTGAGCACTATGGCTGATAACCTCCGTTTTTAACGTCAGAACCCAGACAAACTGAGCTGAATATTGAACCAGGGTCATTTTGCCGGTGACAAAACTGATCATTGCTCTCTTCATTGACGAATGTCTTAAAATGATAAAAAGTAGTGAAAACATTTAAGGAAATCAAGCAAAACCTGTGTAATTCAGAAAAGTTACTTTGGCAAAGATCATTTACTCCCTCTCCATCTGATCACGTGCCATGGCTGTGTCGAAATTCTCTGCAATTGCAAAATCGATGCAGCTGACATTTGCATGCACCAAAATATACATATGTAGAACAATGAACTTTTCGAGTTCAGTACTTCGTTCTTACATTTGATACTTTGTAAGATATTGATCAGTTTGTTTATAGTGAACTAGCATCAGCATCAATGTTATTTAATCCTTTTTGTTGGATGTGTCAAATTTTCGAAAGCCAAACACACACGCTCATGTGATTAACGGATTGACTTTTGTGCGTGATTTTAGGTTTGCAGTCTTGGCTGTGGATCTGATCACGTTATGGACGCAATCAGCCAGTGCGAACAGTACGCGGTTATGAATGGCCTCAAAGATCAGGACGCGAAGTGGCTGTTGTTTTTTCGCAAGGAAACGTTTTCTCCATGGTGCATCGTATCAGAGGACAAAACGGCCACTGAACTGATCTACGCGCAAGTCGTTCAGGGTGTCAGACACGGAGAGTACTCTTGTGATAAGGTGTATTTTCTTTCTGGGCAAACCAGCAATCAGTTAACGAAAGGCCACTTTTGAATTATAGTTAATGAATGATATTGTTATATATATACATATACTTGAAGTTTGAGGGGTGCATACTCAGTTCTTCTTCAGGTTGCCTTGAAGGCGGTCTGAGCAGTGTCTGAAGCATTAGTGTTGTTAAAAAATTTTTAGGCATGTTTTACCGATTGTAATATCAGTGATGCAGCTATAATATTAAACAATAATAATGGCGATATGATATATCAATTACTAGTTGTTATCATCTGGACATTTTTAGCTTGACTGATATATATCTGTTTTGTTTTTGATTTGGTTTTTCACATTCGGTCCGGTATCTTTTTTTTCTCAGTCATTGATTCGTCATTCTGTAGTTTTGTCTGGGTTGACATCGATGACATGGTTATTTCGTTGACTTTTTATGCGCGCAGGTCTCACAGTCGAGCGCTCTTCCGATTTAGTCCAGGTCCAATTATTTCAGCAGCATGTTCGCTTCGATTACTTGTTTCGGCTCCGCTAGACGTTGCTCGCTTGCAGCATTGACATGGCAGACGTTCCTCCTTTTTCCAGCATACCTTTCCGGTATTTCCTGCGACGCCTCGCTGCATTGTGAGAGCATTTCATTACAGTCTTATTCTCTTCTTTGCACAATCTTATTCTTAAATCTTATTCTGTCCATTTCATTACAATCATATTCTCTTCCTAC